TTGTATTCAGTTATTTCCAGGTTGACTCTGATTCCTGTTAAACTGTTAAACTGTTGCGTCGAGTCGATTCTGACTCATAGCGACCGGATAGGACAGAGTAGAACTGGCCCGTATGGTTTCAAAGGAGCACCTGGTGAATTCGAACTGCCAGCCTTCTGGTTAGCAGCCGTAGCTCTTAACCACTACGCCATCAGGGTTTCTTGTAACCTGTTACTCCCCCAAAAAACCACGTAACTGTAAGTACAATTTGTGAGTTCTGTGAGACATGGCAGTGAATTACTGAACCCAAAGATGGGAGTAAGAGTACTAAGGGGAGGGGAAGTAGCTGGTAGTAGAGATGAGTGGTACATCAGCTTGGTACATCAGCTTGGGACATCTTTAACTCTGCCTCATAGGAATCAGCTTTGTTCTGACTCTTACTAAAGAAATTATTCGTTTAATGATAATTAGGTACTTAGCAAATAATTCAAGATCATTATGACACTTGTTGAATTTACAATTCTTTTTACATAAATATGTTCTTATGTTTGAATCATACTGCTGCTAAATACTACTGAATTTATTATGGCTATACGTTTCTTTCATTAATTACTGTTTTTTGAGGTAGGATGTTTTGAGAGTTGCCAGTACACCCTTTTGCTCTAAAGCTTTCTTCCCCCCATAACGGCCCTTATAGCACTGAGTAGAACTCTCAGGGTAGATGTTTGCTGACCATGAATGTTCTTTCTCTTTTTTAATATCAAAACAAAGCATAATCTTTGCTCAGCAGGAGACACATAGCAGCCATCAGTAACCAGCCTTCGTTAATAAAAGGATACAAATGTCTCAATTATTGACATGAAATTCTTCTTGGAAAATATATTGGCTTTCTTGTCTGCATTGATTGAGAGATTAGATGAGATAATTTCTTAGTTTAGGTCTTTCTGAATGTTTTACCAAGACTTTGTAGTTGAAAATTTTGCTGCTGAGAGTTTTTGACTGAATGGATTGCTAGAGGAGATTGCTAACAAAGTACATTTATTTCCCCCTACTCAAGATCTAAGGAGCCCTGGTAGCACAATGGTTAAGTGCTTGGCTGCTAACCAAAAGGTTGGCAGTTCAAACTCACCCGGTGACTCTGCAGGAGAAAGACCTGGTAATCTGCTCCTATAAAGATCACAGCCTAGAAAATCCTATAGGGCAGTTCTACTCTGTCACATGGGGTCACTATGAGTTAAAAATCAACTCAATGGCACCTAACAACAACAACTCAAGATCTATCATCACCACCATCATTCTACTTTCTCTCCAAATTTGCTCATCTGAAACACGTCTGAGGGGTAATAGAGTCTGTCATTTTACTAACAAAATTAGAGGAAACTGTTAATTTATTCTCACTAAAGTATAAGTGAATAAAGCCAAATTCTTCACTGGGTACAAGTCTTGATGGTCAGAGGGAAGAAATTGAAGCAACTGGATGCTAAAATAGATGGTAAACCTGGAGAATGCAATGGCTCCTTGGAAGGGTGAAAATAATGGAGTCAAGAAGGTGTGTTCACATACTTCAAAATTTTGCTTAATGTTAACTATGTTTTTTGCAATATTTTTTGTGACATTGTCAAGAAAGGCTAAGTGGCTAAGTTTCGAGCAAATCTATTTAAATATTTGAAATACACAGTGTTAGGCCCAAAGATGCAAATTCAAAAAATGTAATTCATAATCTAGTTCCAGACAAGACATGAATACACTTAAATGTCAAATAAGGACACAAGAAAATACAACATAATTTTGCAAGGTTGAACATAATTGATTGTTAAATGAGTCGAGTAGATGGCATGTTTTGGATTCAGAAAATACAGTGATCTTCATGGACTGTATTGGTCTGAGGAGACTTTATAGAGCAAGATGAATTTGTGTATAACCTTATAGCATAGGAAGCAGTTAGCTATGAAGAGAGGAGGTACTGGGCCATTATGTGGAAGATTACTTCCTACTTGTAGAGCGAGACTAGCATCACACGCCAATTACATGACCTACATGTATTCCTGATCGGCGGCCAATTTGTGTCTCTATTGTTTGTACAGAAACCTGCCTGGGGCCAACACTGGGGCTGCCTCCCAATCAAGCTACATTCCAGAGTGAACAATCCAGGCCAACATGGAACAGTTCCACTATGGTCCACACTGGTTCTTTTCTATACGTGAAGGGTGGTGGTCACTATGGCATTTAGCACAGATTCTACCCAAAATGAAAGCAAAGCTTAGCACTGTGGAAAGCTTCATTTAGTGTCTCCAATGGACTAAGGAAATTGACATATAAGGTAGATATGAAAGAGTCCACCTATAAATTTCTTTTTAAAATGCATTTTATTTCTCATTTTTTATAACATAAAAGACTATAGATATATAAAATTCCTTTGGATTTGGTTCTGTTCCTTTTTTTGTTACTATATGATTCTCTCAGTCCTAAAATTCTATGACCTCAATATTCTATCCTTGGCACAGCAAATACAACACGACAAAGAGAAAAATAAAAGCCTTGGCAAGGTTTCTTTTTCCAAGAACTAGGTTGAAAAAAAGATCTGGGAAGGATCAAAAAGCTGACAAGTTTAGCAGTAGTGTTTATTTCTGCACCGTGATTGATGGTCTTGTCAGTTCTTTGTTCTATGGACATAAAAAGGAAGAAAATGCCAGAAGATTTCAGAGTTTCAGTAAGTGTGTCTGACTCTACGTCATTACCATGGTGTCACAAGCTACACCACAAGAGCCTTGGGGTCTTTTAGGTACAGAAACTAAAAGCATCATCCTGAGAGCTCTTCATGAGGAGACAAGGGACCGGAGAGTAAGGGAAAGAATTAAAATTCATCAGCACCCATGAAAACTAAAACTCATTGCCATGGAGTTGATTTTGACTCATAGTGAACCTGCAGGACACAGTAGAACTTCCCCATAGGGTTTCTAAGAAGTAGCTGGTGAATTCGAACTGCTGACCTTTGGGTTAGCAGCCAAAC